AGCTCTAGTAGCCTAGTGCATAGGGTACTGTGGTGTTAACTCAAAAATGGCACCAAGGTAGAACGATGGTCAAGCTCCTTCCACAGCTTTACAGTCTGAAAACCCACCGGATGGCCAGCTATGAGTTGGTTCCCTCAGTGGCAATGAGCTGAATTTCATGCCCTTGAGTAGGCAGGTTCTATCAACAATGTGGAATGAAAATATCAAAGCACCTTCAGTCTTCTCAGATTCACCATTTCCGGTCTTCGTTACGCAACTCAGAGATACCCCTTTTCCTCTGTAGACATTAACGATCTGCACGAAAGCCTAGACTAGTATTCTGTTGAGTCCCTGGAATTCTGTGCCAGCAGCAACACGGAAAAGTTTGACTTAGCAATTTCAAGGCAGGTGTTACCAGTTGGAGGCCTGAGAGATGAGAAAACCTCCTTCTGGCCTTTTTCAGATGCCTGCTTTTGAGGGGCGCTGCCTCCTGGTGAGCCTGCCAGGGAGGATTAGTTTCAGAATGTGCTCCCAAAAAGTAGAATGAATTAAGTTGCTTGGTTAATTATGAATGCATATTTAAATGTTGATGAGAGCCTTCTCAAAACAGCAATCTCGACTTGGCATTGTTACTGAGATTGAATTGCCTTTTCCTTCCCCTTCGTGTTATTTAGCCAATGAATTGAGCTGCTTTTTGTGGTTCATGATAATACAACCAAATCATTGGGAAATTCATTCTAAAATATATATATTATTATAACAATAAAAGGAGAAATGTGATAGCCAGTTAATAAATCTAACCAAGAATTGGCGAATTCATGAACCCTACTTCCTGAAATATCATTTGTCCTCATTTCGATGGATAAACATACTCCAGAAAAAGCTAACCTTGTGTCAAATCTCATCTCCTGGTGACCATCAATGATTAAAAATAGGTGGCCTCGTGGTAAGGAGCTGTGCTGCCATCCCAAAGACCTGCAGTTCAAACCACCAACTGTTCCACAGGAGGAAGACGGACAGTCTTCTCTTAGGGAATTAAGTTGCCTCTTAAAACTCATGGAGGGTCAGCTATGAGTCATTTCCAACTGAACAATATACAACAACAACAATGTAGTTTTTAAGAAAATAAGTCTTCCAGTGAATTTTATTCGAGCTCTAATGGCATAGTTTGTATCGAGTTGTACTACTAACCTGTAAAAATAAGAGTAGCGAGTTCTAACTTTTGCTAACTCCAGAAAGGGGAACTGTCCCCATCAACAGCATCTATAGCACAAAACTAATTTCTGTAAGATCAGACATGATCTCTTCTATTCGTCATTCCGACACTAATATCACAGCTTTACTGGTTCTGAAATGTGTTACAATGACTACACAGACTGCAGAACCATACTTATGATAATGGACTTTGTCAGGGAAGTTAACAGGGTAGCAGGATACAGGATAGAGTCCCTCAGTCCAGACAGCTTCTCAAATGCGGTCATAGGCCCTTGACCTTCAGGCCTACAGGTTAGGTCAGGGTTACAAAGTTCCCTTACCCATCCCAGTTATGATATCTTCCCTCAGTCCTTCAGCCAGCTTGAATGAAGGTCTCTGCCTCTGGCTCCGTGAGGCAGCAGTCTCTCTCTCTCAGGTTAGTCTCTTGTTCTCTGCTGAAGCTGCTGTTCTTACATGAATCGCAGTCTACCTGGCACTGGAATCTCTAGCCCCTGTGATGCACACTGCTTCCGCTTCCTTTTATTGACATTCCCAGTTTCTTCTGCCAAAACCACTTGATTTAAACCTAGAGAGATGGTGAGACAAGACAATCCCCTTGTGGATTTAAACCTAGAGAGATGGTGAGACAAGTCAATCCCTTTGTATGATCCTGCCCCGCCATGTGGCAAAGTCAAAGTCAATGGCTAGGAAAGCCATTATCAACAACCAAAAAAAAAAACAACAAACAGACCACAAAAACCCTCCTTGATGTCACATAACCCAAAACATGAACATCTCTGGCAGTTCAAATCCAGAGAAACATGGACAGTTGTGTTGCACTAAGATTTATAGACTCATTTGCCGAATGGAGGGTCACCTTGAGTGGGAGCCAACCCAACAGCAATGACAGTGTTAAGGGTCCTGAGGAGAAGACTGCTCCCTGATTATTGAGTGTTTGGGGGTTGTGTTCCCAGAGACATAGCGACTGTCACAAGTCCTGAACTTGTACTTCAGTGTAAATGTCTGACTCCTCTTTTAGACACATCTACCATTATGGGTTTATTTGTGCATAGGGTTTTCAGAGGCCTTCTATTTCAGAAGTGGATGGCCAATCCTTCTTCCTAGTCTGTCTTAATCTGAATGTTCAGATTTAGAGAAGTATCAGACAGACCAGCATTTTATAGAAAAAGTAAAAGATATATCCCTTATTGTGGAGTTAACCATTAGTATCAGTGTTGTCCCTGCCTTTGGCACACGTGTCTTTAGTAAGGAGAGACCGGTCCTTGGAGAAGGACATCATGCTTGGGAGGGTAGAGGGACAGTGTAGGAGAGGAAGACCCTCTAGGTGGATTGATGCAGTGACTGGGATAATTGGCATGGGAGTGTCAGAGACAGTGTGATTGGCACAGGACAGAGCAAAGTTTAGGGCTGTTGTACATAGAGTCACTATGAGTCGCAACCGACTCGACGGCACATAACAACAACACAATAATGGGAGCTCAAAGATACAAGTCAAGATTTTTAATCTCTTACTTAACACATTATGACACCACACGAAAATGACAGCTTCCTCTCCTTTGCTTCTACCAATGAAAATTGGTCTGTGATGTGTTCAAAGTCATTTATGTCAGGAGCTTCTGTCCTTTGGACACTCAGCAAAACAGTCCCAGATCTTCCTGGCCAGAAGCAGTACCGGAGCCAAAGGTGTTTTGTTACTAGGTGCTGTTCAATCAAGTATGACTTATAACGACTCCGTAGACAATCGATCTAACGCTGTCCTATCTTGTGCCATCTCCACAGTCTCTGACATGCTCGAGTCCATTGCAGCAGTTGCCGTGTCAACCCACCTTGTTGAGGGTCTTCCCCTCTTTCACTGTCCCTCAACCTTCCCAAGCATAATGTCCTTCTCCAAGGAATAAACTCTTCTAGAAACATGCAGAATGTGGAGATTATCTAACAATATCACTAATATCACACACAAGCAAAATCTTTCTGAAAATGATCTGAACAGACTGGAACAGTACATCAAAAGAGAACCTCCAGGAATACAAGCTGGGTTTAGAAGGGATCATTACACTAGAGACATTATCATCAATGTCAGATGATTTTGTCTTGACCAAAAGCTGAATCATAGAAGAAGGTCTATCTGTGTTTCATTGACTATGCAAAGGCATTTGACACTGTGGATCACAACAAACTGTAGCTAACCTTGAGAAGAATGGAAATTCCACAACACTTGATTATGCTCATGTGAAACCTGTTCTTGGACCAGGAAGCAGTTGCCAGAACAGAGCAAGGAAACACTGCATGGTTCAAAATTGGGAAATGAGTGTCAGGAAAGGCTTAAACCCAAACCCTTCTCCAGGGAGTGGCGTACCATAGGCATAGCTGAGTCTGTGGCCACCAGTGCTGGCTCATGTCCAGCCAGACCCACCACCCAGCACAGCGGTGGTCATCCCTGGCCAAAGAAGGAGGGAACAGATAGTTTCAGAATCAGACACAACGGTATAGAGTGGAGTTTAGAAAAGGGGCTATAATGGGGTTCTAGAGCTTGAGAGAGCAGGAAGATGACAGGAGCACGTGGAGGACTGGCCAGTGGGGACAGTCAGGCTGGCCCCCTTGGAGGGACTATTCCAGATCTTTTTCTCCTCATTGGCAATAACCACACTGAAATCATTGCCCTCACACAGGCACAGGCTAGACAACAAGAGAGAGGTTTTTCTCTGTCTACTCCTTTGCGTAGATAAATGTTTCTGGAGGAGATCACACAATCTTCCTTGACCCATGAGGGCTTTCAGATATTGACATTCTAACTTCCTGTGTCACCTCTCGTAACTGATGATAGAAATTGCTCAGCACGTGTCATGCTTGTCCTCCTCTAGCTCCGCCTGGCCCCTTCTAGAACCCTCCTCCGCATGAGCAAAGCATGTACCACACAGCTGAGTTCTCATTCTGTGGCCATGTGGGTTCAGTGACTGGCCCCAGGACTCCAGGTAGCCCACAGTTACACCTATTTCTTTCCAGCTATTGACAGTATTCTTTTTTCTGTGAAATCTCTCCCTAGCAAACCTGGGGTGAAATCTCACGTAAAGCCTTCACCACACCGGAGGCCAGTTTATCCTGCAAGGGTACTAGGTGTAGATCTCAACCAGCAAATGGCAACAGCCTTTTCCTGACTGTCTCCTGTGGGCGGGCACCGAGCTGCATGCTTGCGAGTGAGATCCGTGTTTTGTGCTGAGTCGTCCAGCATGACTCTTTGCAGCTCTTTTCATCCTATAGGTTCAGAAAAGCAAAAGATTCTGTCCACGTTTAAGAGATGTAGGGGGTGATAAATACACCTCTCCAATTTAGTTCAAGAACTCCTACAACTCTGCTATGTACCCCCAACATTTATGTCTCCCTGAGATCCCCATGGGAGTCTCTGGTACCAATGGTTAAGTGCTGAGCTTCTAAACAAAAGGTTGGTGGTTGAAAATCACCCAGAGGCAATTCTGAAAGTGTCCACTTTTGAATGGTCACAGGCACAGAAAGCCATGTGGGGTACAGTTTTCTCGGACATATGTGAGGTAGGCATGGGTAGGAACTAGACTTGATGATAGCCCCCTCGTTTCTTAGAGCACCTTTTGGAAAGTAGCTTTAGATTATAACATATGTCCACTCCGATGTCTGCTGTATGTTCACTCAGATGTCTAGTGCATGTCCATCCAGATACCACCCCCTGTGCTTGGTTAAATCTGGAGCAGCCTTCCCCTAAGTTCATTTCCCTTCCTGTCGCAGCCACGGCCACTGCCTTTAACTGTTGTCTCTGCTTTGCTCCATCCACACAGGTCACAACGTTGACCCAGGAGGTCTCCCAGTTGGGGAAGGACATGAGGAACGTGATTCAGCTTCTGGAGAATGTCCTGTCACCCCCGCAGCCATCGGGGTTCTGCTCTGTGCACAGGGAAGACTCACCCCCCAGAATGGCCTGGAGCACACCCCAGCCGTGCCTGCACTTACAAGCAGGCGGGGCCACCTATAGCCAAGCACAGCTCTGTCATGGCAGTGTCACCTCGGACATTTGGAGTGTGGATCCCTCCTCCGTGGGGGGCAGCCCCCAGCGGACTGGAGCTCAGGAGCAGAGTCCTGCAGACGGCGAACTTTATCAGTCCCCAACCCTGCCGGGTTCGCCTTCCCACTACCAGGTTGTGCAGGAAGGCCGCTTGCAATTCCTGCGATGCATCTCTCCGCACTCCGAAAGCACGCTGACGCCCCTGCAGTCCATCTCAGCCACCCTGTCCTCGGGGGGTTCCTCCTCGGACACGTCCCTGCACCTGGTCCTCCCCAGCAGGTCAGAGGAGAGCAGCTTCGGCCAAGCTGCCACCAGCTCCTACAGTCTGGAGAACTTGCCAGGCTCTTGGGACCGGGAAGGGATGACCTCTGTCACTACGGAACCCTTGGAAAGTTTCCCACTAGAGGTCGTCACAAGCACAGCAGACGTGAAGGACAGCCAAGCCATAGACGTATGATGCCAGCGCCCGTGACGCAGCTGCCCCCTCCACCCCTCCAGTGCATGACAGCTTCCGTTTGCCTTGTTTTGCTCTGCAGGCCTGAGGGCTGGCGTGAGTGGAGAAAGCTGCAGAAGAGAGTGGGGAACCCGGGAAAGGCACACCGTACCTCCACATTGTAGCCAACACTTTCTAGATCCTAGAAGCATAATGAGAACTTTTTTTTTCTTTTTCCTGTACAGGTATTAACTTACCAGTCTGTTTGACAGAGTTTGGTAAACTTCCAGTGACGCTGGGGGTCTGAGCAGCTAGCAGGCCCAGACAAAGAACGGGTGGATTAGCTCTGTCCTCGGTGGCTCTTGTGACAGTCCAGCAAAGGTTTTTCCTGAGTGCCTCTTTGTCATTTCTGAACAATATCCATAGCACTGTTTGGCCTCAGGGCGCACAGCTCATGCTGACCTGTTTTCCTCCTTGTGAAGAAAGGGACAATTATCACTGCATGTCATCTCCCAGACATTCAGTTAGACAAGCTGGTGGCCGGTGGCTAGCTATTGCACGTCATTTGCCATGTAAATGAAAATGTCTTTATTTATCAGGAAAAAAAATGGCTATTTTTATATCCTTGGTATGAAATATGTATTTAAACTATTTAAGATATTTATAAAGAAATGAATGTTTTCTTTTCATTTTGGTAAAAAAAAAAAAGAAAGAAGCTTGCCGTTTTAACAAGAAATGCACTACTGTTATGTATATATAGTAGATAAAAAAATTATTTATTAAGAGGCTGTAGTTTCAAAAGGAATCTCCCTTTTATCTGCATGCAGTTTGCAACAAATGTAGCCTCATGCTCCTTGATTACACGAGGAAGGTGAGGTCCTATTTTATTAATGAAATAAAAACATGGACTGAGTGTCACCTCCATGGGCGTTGGCATGGTGGTGGGAGGGTCCCATCAACTCTCTGCTGACTCACATCACGTTGGGCTCGAATTCCAGTTATACTCCCTCCATGGTGACGCACGTATCTCCTTTCCAGATACTGCATTATCCTGTCAGGAAACCCCATACTGACCTGTGGAACATGAGTTCCCAATTATTTCAGGATCTAAATTGGCTCCACAGTCAACACTCTTAGCACCAGCAGACAGGAAATTAAAAGACATATTGTGATGGCAAAGTCTGCTGTTAGAGACCTCTCTAAAGTACTGAAGTGCAACAATGTCAGTCTGGAGACTAAGGTGCTCCTGATACATGCCATGGTCTTTGCAATCACTTGCTATGCATCAAAGAGTTGGACAATGACTAGGAAGGATAGAAGGAGAGTTGATGCCTTTGAGCTGTGGTGCTGGAGAAGAGTATTGAATATACCATGGACTGCTAAGAAAATGAACGTATTTGTCCTGGAGAGGGTTAAATCAGGCTGCTCCTTAGAGGCAAGGATTCTGGGGCTCCATCTAACATACTTTGGACATGTTGCAAAGTGGGACCAGTCCTTGGAGAAGGACATCATGCTTAGGAGGGTGGAGGGACAGCATAGGAGAGGAAGACCCTCTATGAGGTGGATTGATTCAGTGACTAGGGGTTTGGGGATAGGTGTGTCAGAGACAGTGCGATTGGCCCAGGATAGAGCAGGGTTTAGGGCTGTTGTACATAGGGTCGCTATGAGTCACAGGCGCCTTGACGGCACATAACAACAACAACAAATGAGGCAGAGGGAGCTCTGGTGGCCTAGTGGGTAAGGAGTTGGACCGCCCATCCCAACAGAGGCAGTTGAAATACACTAGCTGCTCTGCAGGAGAAAGATAGACAATCTCCTCTGTGTGGTTTACAGCCTCTGAAAACTTGCTGGAGGATCAGGTATGAGGTGTGATTTCAGCTCATTGGCAGTGAGTTAGTCAATGAAGTAGAAAACAAATCATGGATGTATTCTTTGCTGTGCTGCTCTTTCAGAAGACGTAGACCAATGAGGATTATAAAATGGGGCCAAGAATGCTAAGCCAGGAGGCATGGAAGCGATGCTAGCTTGCAATGCGTGTGTGCATTATATATGCAGGCGTACTTACAGGGTTCTCTGACAGCAGAGGGAACGCGAAGGCTTCTTGTTGTTTTTGTTGATTGCCATCAAGTCAAGTGCAACTCATAGCAACTTTATGAACAAAAGCCCTAATGCCTTTCCATAACTATGGTCATTTCTCCAAGGTCACGGAGTTTCCAGAGGCATGTGGTTTAGGACTGAGGGCTTAGTGGTAAGAAACTGTGTTGCAATCTCTAAATCACATGGTTCACATCTGCCACCTGCTTCCTCAGAGAAGGAGGGGCAGTCTACTTCTGTGTGATTAGACTACCTCTGGGAAACCCGCTGGAGGGTCAGCTGTGGGCCAGATCTGACACAAAGACATCCAACGGCAACAGCAACTGGTAGCATAGTCCATAAGGAGCCACACTGCTGATCCAAAGGCCACGCATGACTCCCGTGGGTCAAATCCACCAGGATGAAGTATGTGTCCACTTGATTTACACCTTGGGAACCCACTGGACAGTCAACTATGTGTTAGACCCAATTCAATGTCATTTACACACACACATAAATGTACATGCCTATTGGAGTCTGTAGTAGTCACTGACAGTTAAAGGTAAACTGCTAATGAAATAGAGTTTTTAATCCATCCAGAGGCAGTTTACAAGAAGGGCTTGGAAGTCTGCATGTAAAATAAAGTCAGCCGCTGGGAACACCAGGGAGCTCAGTGTTCTCCTCTTGGGCCCTCAACAACCCCATAAGTTCTCTATAACAGAGCTCTCTCATTCCCCTTCGGTAAAAAGAAATATCAAAATCCCAGAGATCGCACAGCTAACGGTAATGCTCCCTACACCTCATCTCCATCATCACTTCCACACTTTTACTCAAGGTTGAATGTGCTTTGGTGGCGCGTTGCTCAAGCACCCCATGCCAACGGGAAGTCTGGTGGTCTTTATCCATCCAAAAGCACTGACAGAGAAAGAGCTGTCACTTAACGCCCTAAAGGTCACAACCCAGAAATATCTGTAAGGAACTTCTCCTCCGTCCCATGGCATCTCTCTGAGTCAGAATCAACTGGGAAACACCCAACAGTAACCACAAATCAAGTGTTATTTTATGTGTAAGAACATTTAGAACCTAATCATCCCAGCTATTCCTGGATGGTACCTCACATTTGCCTTCTGGAATTTTTTTTCCTGCCTCAATGAGTAAATATTATGAGAACTTTATCATTAAAACAGCTACACACCCAAAAAAGTACAAGAAATTTTTTTTCTAGCCAATTTGTTTACTCTTTCTCTTCTCTTTATGCTTCAAGCACCCCCTTTTCATAATCCATCCTGTCTTTCATCAAACATTATCTTGCTTAATAGAGACTAGTGTTTTTGTTATTGGGGATAGAGTAATCCATAAACCTTGTCATTGGGCTTTTAATGAGACAGCAGCAAGGGTTTCAGACCCATGGCATGGTTTCCTCTGGGCACACTCCTGGATTGTGGGCCTACCAGAAGCTGAAGTTCCGGGCATCAGTCAAAGGGACTCTGAAGACCTGCTTAAGGGCCTGTAAAGATCTTCAGCCTTCAGTAACCAGGTGAATAATAACATTAGGGTAGTATTCAGAACTTAGAATAACCAAGCGTATGAGGTCAAAAAGGTAGCGTTTGTCAAAAGCTCAGAAAGCAGAAGTGAGAGGGTAGAAAGAAGAATGGATACCAGAACAACAGGGAGGAAGTGGGAAGAGTTGTTACAAATGAGGATCCCCCTCCCCCCGCAAACTGTAAACTTGTGCAGCTCCTGCACCAATGAAATCAAATTCATGTGCAGAAAGCAGCTCCTTTCTGCCTTTTTGACACCACGTTCACTAGTGTCCAAAAGTAAATGGACAACACAAAGGCCTAAGAAATATTTTTAAAATCTACACAAACCAAGACTTCTCTTACTGAGTAGAAGAGAAATCTCATTTTTTAGAACGCAGTACATATTCATGAGATAGGTCACTCAACATCTTCTACTTCCTCACTTCGAAAATCCAGTCACTTCCTAAATTCATGGTAACGCTGAGTCAGGAGCAAAATTCTGAGTTTCATCTCTGCATCCTTGTTTCCTCTCGTGCAACATCCTGATCCACGTAATCATTTTCCTTACTATCCACAAAGAGCTCGTTGGTGTTGGTCCACGAATGCCCTCCAGGCAAATGAGCACCACCGTTACTGAGCGGGAGCTTGGTAGCCGACCTAGACCATAGGGAGTTGCACTGCTAACTCAAAGGTTACGCTTCTCCATTGGTTTGAACTCACCAGAGGCTCCTCGAGGGAAAGGTGGGTAATCAGAATGCTCCTTAGAGACAAAGAAGGTGAAATTTCATCTAACCTTCTGTGGGCGTATTGTCAGAAGGAACCAACCTTTCGAAAGGGCTGTCATGCTTGGAATGGTAGAGGATCAAAGAAAGAAAGATCTTTAACACACACACTTTAACAAGAAGGATTGATACAGCGAGTGTAACAATAGACTTGAGCCTCTCAGAGATGAGGGAGGAGGGTGCCGGGTGGGGCATGATTCCGATCTGTTGTTCATAGAATAGATAGGAATCATAGTCGACTCATTCACACTTAACAACAACTAATGTCATTGGTATAATTCTGCAAATCAGAAAGTCACATGATGAAAGCTTTTTATGTGAGTGCAACAGAAGCAGAAATATCTGGCAATCAAAGCTACTTACAAGTGGAGAGGCCAGCCAGGAGTGGTACTACCCCTCTAGAAGGTTCCTTCAGAGACTGTTAGGACCACCTGTGAGCAATCACGTTTCTCTGATGACATCTACCCGGCTTGCACCTAATCACGTTATCTACGTTAGACACAGGCCGAGCAGAATGTCTGCCTCAGAATCACACAGCAAGCTTATTTGCAGTGTGGAAAACCTATCTCTAACTCAGTCCATTTAGGTGGGACTTGAGAGTCTTTTATTTAGTAAATACCTCAGGCGAATTGTCTACCCTAAAGAT